CAGTATATATATAATTATATATATATATACAGTATATTTATATATATATATATATTTACCATCCTGCGTTCTGCTCCAGCACATATACACACACACATTCATGAAAAACACAAATTTGTGCCTCACATTTAAACATCACTGACACAAGTTGACGACAAAATGATAATCATCAAACCCAATGAACATATGATGGAAATACAAGAGAGTTCTAATAAAATTACATGGATTAGCCCCTCCCCCACTGTCTGGAGGAGTCATGTGATGTTATATTTAGACTGCGGTAAAGGCTACTTTGTGTGTGTGTGTGTGTGTGTGTGTGTGTAAGGGGGGGTCTGAAGTAAAGTTAAAGGTGAGCTTAAAGGGTAAGATCTGGTTTATGCATGTGTGTGTGTGGATCAGACACACACACTGGACAATCCAGTGTGTGTGTGTGCTCATCACTGCCCTTTGCAGTGAGTCCTGAACTCTTCTCAAGTTTCCCCTTTAAGTGAACTTCGACCTTCTCTGTGCGACTTAGGGATCGTCCTGCTAGTTCACACCTCTCGCACTCCCACAGAGTAACACGATGCTACGTACAGTCATAACAGAGAGACAGAAAATGACAGAGATAAGACTGGATTCAAAATGATCAGAAATGAAAATACACCAGATGGTACACAAAACTACCATAAATTACAGCCAGGGGGAGGAGGGATCTAAATGAACAATGAATAGTTTAACGAAAGACAACAGTGGTCGGAAATGTTAATTAGGTCAACAACATGACAGCAAGGAAACAAACAAAGAACAAACAACAAAAGAGGCACACAACAGCCAAAAGGAGCCAAAACAAAGAAATTCTCTGTAAGGTCACAAACTATCCTGTCAGTTGTTACTTCTGCCTCCTTTTGCAGTTTCCTTCTCATCCCGTCACATGCAGACAGTCCCTGCCTCTACTCAGAGCCTCCTCCCCTGTTAGGGAGCGTTTATAAAAACCCCTAGGGCAGAACAGACAGACACGTTCCAAGTCAGTCGGACATACAGACGGCCACAGACAGCTCCTTCTCTAAAAGGTGAGCTCGAAGCAGGATCAGTTTCTCTGTTCTGTTGATTTTCTGTTTGTGTTTAAGTACAGGTTCCCACTTGGCCTCTGGCATGAACCTGTCTCTGATTTGGTCACCTGACCGACCTCTTCTTCCTCCTGCTCTTATTTTGAAAGTCAGCAAGTGTTTCCTGGGGTGCTGGAATGTCAAATTAAATCTGACATTTTCAAACAGTCACTTTTCCAAAAGTCACTGAAGGGACTGAAGACAAAACCTCCAAGGTCTTGACCGACAGCAGCATGAAGGTCAAAAGCTGAAGGACTTGACGTAAGAGGGGCAAAGTCCATGCAGAGAGACAACAGACACGCTGTGCTGCAAAAGTCAGCTATGTGATTGGGCTGACATTTTAGGGGTTGACATATGAACACTTCAGTGATCTGGACAATGAGCAGGCCTGTCCACAGCCAGCTGTCTCTGACCACCAGGGGACATAGGTTAAATCATTTGTATTGTAGCTTAATCGTTTCACCTGACGTTAGCACTAGCATAAAATAGCGTTTAAATAATAGCAGAGTGGTAAGGATGAGTTAAGTTAGCAAAAGAATTAGCATACTTTAATTAGAGGTAGACGTAATGCTAATATTACCATTTGTATGCTATCTAACAGTACTATTAGGTCTTAAGAGTAGTATTTAAAAAAGTGGAAACGTTAGCAGCACATTTGTAAATATTGTATGCACTTTAAGTAGTTTAAGAGGATATAAATGGTCAAAAAAGGGACATCAATGGCACCTCAATTTTGTCGTCAGCACTCGTTGCTTGAATTGTATTAGAAAATGAATTACCACTGTCGTATAACTTATTAAAACCTATAGTATTCGACATAAAATTAGGGATAGCAATGGCGCTAGGGCTAGCTATATACTGGTAACTTTTGTCCAAGTGAAAGTATTAGTAACAGTGAAAGTGATTACATAGCATAGTGTGAGAGTAGCATCGACAGTAGCAGTAGTAGTAGCAGTACTTTCTGCAAACAAAAAACATTACTGATCGTTTAATCAAAGGTTGTAGTTCAAATTATTAGTGTATCAAAGGAAACGTTAGCATACCTGTTAGAGGTTGTGTTAGCCTATTAGCTGTTAGGAGTAATTGCTGATGAGGTACAATCAAAAGTACTAGTATAGTAGGACTAGAATCATGACAGTATAAAGTTGGTTGAAAATTGGTTTATAAGGTAGCAACAAGCTGTAGTAAGCAGTAGTAATAGTAGTAGTACTTGCTTTGTACTATATTCTTGTGTATCTATGCCGGGAGCTACTGGTCAACTAGCTGCTTTTTAAGTTTTATTATAATACTACAGTAACAGTAACACTCAAAGGTCTAGTGAGGTCACAAACACAAGGACCTTTTGGTTGTCCCAGGTCACAGATGCCTCCACAAATGTCATGTGTGTGTGAGTGTAACTGTATCAGAGACAGGAGGAAGTCCAGGTCTGAGGAGAAGGTCAGGGAGCCTCGGCATTTATATTTAACTGTCTCTGGAGGACACACTCTAAAGACACTGACCTCTCACACTGACCACACTGCCCCTACTCTGGCACCACGATGGTCTCGTCCTCTGCCTTTATTCTCCTATTGGTCTCTGACCAGGGGAGAAGCACAATGATTGGCCGTTTGTGATGGGGGTGGGGTGAGTCTGAAAAAAGGGTCCAGAAGCCCGCTGCTGAGGAGGAATCATGGCGTTGAATCGGCTCTCTGCAGCAGGTGCACAACTCAAACAAGTACACACGGACACACACACACACACACACACATTAAGGGCATTGACCTGTGGTTCATTCCCAGTGTTGTTTGTTTTCAAGGTCACTGCATGATGTCTTTTCTCTTTTAAAGCCAGCGTTTAGATTTTCAAATGTTAAAAGGCACTGACAAGTGCTTGTGTACAGTGCTAAGAATGCGGTGAGCGCCGCAAGAACCAGCCAACAACAACAAGCCAATAAACTACACACTCTCCTGCACCAAAGCCATGAGAAAGGAGGTTGCAGTTGACCTTCAGATAATAAAACGTCATGAGCTAAAAATGCTGACTTTTTCCGTGGAGCTTTGTATGACAATGCAGAGGCATTAAAAAAACCAGTCCAAAAATAAAGTAAAGGAGCTCCCGCTCCCTGAGAGAGCTCAACGTAACGGAGCTGAGTCGTTATCCGTTCTTACTCCGATACTCTGATTTCTCCTACTGCAGTCAGGATGTCCATCACCAAGATTCATGCTCGGGAGATTCTGGACTCCAGAGGAAACCCAACAGTGGAGGTTGACCTGTGGACAGCCAAAGGTCAGGATGCTTACACATGAAGTTTGTTGGAGAAACTGAAACATTTCAAAGGTGTTCATCCGGTGGACAACTGTCTCCCTCCCTGTTCGTCTCCAGGTCTGTTCAGAGCTGCAGTTCCCAGCGGAGCGTCAACTGGTGTTCATGAGGCCCTGGAGCTCCGTGATGGAGATAAGAGTCGTTACCTGGGCAAAGGTAATGTCATACATTTCAAAGATGCATTTCTCAAAAGTTAGATGCCTAGAGATAACAAAAAGGCTACAGGAAGGTTAGCTTGGAACGTGTTAAAATTTAGCTAGGAATACATTAGGATGCGACTAAACATATTGTTACATAAAGCCAGTTAAAACAGCTAAGTATGCTAAAAAAAAGAGTAATGTTATAAAAAATATCTGCAACACATCTGCTTTTATTTATCTCTGCAGGTACATTGAAAGCTGTGGAACATATTAACAAGGACATCACCCCCAAACTGATCGAGAAGGTAACCTATGACAGAATGAGGAAGAAAAAACAAAACAAAAAAAAAACATGAACAAATATGTTCTCTTGTTAAATTTGCAGAAGTTCAGTGTCGTGGAGCAGGAGAAGATTGACAAGTTCATGCTGGAGTTAGACGGAACTGAGAACAAATGTGAGTGTCTGTTTGTTTGTTGTCTGAATTGTCCTATTTCAACCTTTTTTTTTTTTTTACCTGAGATCTGAAAGCCTTTCTCTATGTTCCTGCAGCTAAGTTTGGTGCTAACGCCATCTTGGGCGTGTCTCTCGCTGTCTGTAAGGCCGGAGCAGCAGAGAAGGGTGTTCCTCTGTACCGCCACATTGCTGACCTCGCTGGACACAAAGACGTCATACTGCCCGTTCCTGTATGTAGGCGGGGCTCCCAACGCAGGGCGAGTTAGCTGTGAAATTGTTGAAGACCGACTGTGATGTTTCTCTCTTCAGGCCTTCAATGTCATCAATGGAGGAAGTCATGCAGGAAATAAACTGGCCATGCAGGAGTTCATGATCCTTCCAGTCGGAGCTTCCAACTTCCATGAGGCCATGAGAATTGGCGCTGAGGTTCGAAGGAGCGACAGAGATTGGTTCTCCTGTTTGTGTAGTTTCCTGTCTCACTGAAGTGTTTGTGTTTAGGTCTACCACAACCTGAAGAACGTCATCAAAGCCAAATACGGCAAAGACGCCACCAATGTGGGTGATGAGGGAGGCTTTGCCCCCAACATCCTGGAGAACAACGAGGGTAAGACGTGCACCTGTCTGTCCATCTGTTGTCCAAGATGGACACAAAGATTCCCACTGACCCTGTTTTTTGTCCATGCAGCTTTGGAGCTGCTGAAAACTGCCATTGAAAAGGCTGGCTATCCCGACAAGATCATCATTGGCATGGATGTGGCAGCCTCAGAGTTCTTCCGCAGCGGAAAGTATGACCTGGACTTCAAGTCCCCTGATGACCCATCCAGACACATCAGCGGAGAGAAACTGGGAGACCTTTACCGCAGTTTCGTCAAGAACTACCCTGGTAAAGACCAAACATATTTTTTGTAGCCCTGAAAATGACACAGGAGACACACATACAAGGACCAAACATATTTTTTGTATGAAAAAATGACACAGGAGACACACATACAAGTGTGTGACTGGCCCTTCTTTGACTTGTCAGTGACACATCTATCTGTCATTACACAATTCCAGGTCCTTCACTAGTAGAATGTGGCACAATTACTTGTTTGTGACCAGATCTTGACGTGTCCTTGACTGGACAATGACACATTTGTCTTCCTGTCTTTCTGTCTCCTTTATCTCCAGTCCAGTCCATTGAGGATCCATTCGACCAGGACGACTGGGAACAGTGGGCCAAGTTCACCGCCTCTGTGGACATACAGGTGAGAAAGACAGACCGATAGAGACAGATAGGGACTGCTCGTGTCATGTCATGTCATTGACCTGTGTCTTCTTGTCCAATCAGATCGTAGGAGACGACTTGACAGTGACCAATCCCAAGAGGATCCAGCAGGCTGTGGACAAGAAGGCCTGTAACTGCCTGCTGCTTAAAGTCAACCAGATCGGCTCTGTGACTGAGTCCATCCAGGCGTAAGACAGCTGTTTGACTGTCTCTAACCCATGGTGTGTCCATCCTGCATTCTGACCTGTCTCTCTTAGGTGTAAGCTGGCTCAGAGCAGCGGTTGGGGAGTCATGGTCAGTCATCGTTCTGGAGAGACAGAGGACACTTTCATCTCCGACCTGGTGGTTGGACTGTGCACTGGACAGGTATGTCCTTCACAGCCTGACTTTCGGTCTCATCTCTCGTCTCGCCACATCGTTAATGTCTCTCTCTTGTCTTTAGATTAAGACTGGCGCGCCCTGTAGATCGGAGCGTCTGGCCAAATACAACCAGCTGATGAGGTGAGCGCTTCCTGTCCTTTCAATGCAATAGCGACGTGCTTGGCAAATTAAAAGTCCATTTGTCTTTGACCCCTGAACTTTAGGATCGAGGAGGAGCTCGGCGACAAGGCCAAGTTTGCCGGAAAAGACTTCCGCCACCCCAAAATCAACTAAATCTCCACTCTGTTGCCGTGACAGCCGACTGACAGCAGCTAACACACCAACACCCTTGCCACACACACAAAGATGAGGCGGGGGATGAAAGGTCAGAGGGTGCACTGGGTTTGACCTTGCACTCCAAGCAATAATTCCATTCATGAAGTTTTCTACACTGAACAAAAATAATTCAATAAAGACAAGCCCTCGTAGGCCGTCTCTGTATGTGACCTGCTTCCTGTTACCACAAACAACCACTGCTTTGACACAGGATGTGATGTCACTGCCTCTGAATTTGCTGGGACTCCTTCCTGTTTTCCTATCATGGAGATCACACACCTAAGTCTCCACTGCATTACCATGGCCATTAAAATAAAGTGAAGTGCATCATTTCAGTGCAGAGTATTTACTGAAAACAAAACAGCAAGAGAATTCCTCTTAACAAAATGTTAACAGTATGAAATAATAAATAAATACAAATGTTAAATATTTTGTCCACAAACAAAGTCCAAATCACAGTGAGTGAAAGTTTTGATATCTAATAAAGAAGCACAAAACGGAACCCTTGAAAAGACAGAACAGGGTTCTCACACTCAGACAGGTTCATTAATTATGTCCTCACACACACACACACACACACACACACACAGTGACGTCAATGCTGATTGAGCGAGGAGTTTGGGTACCAGTCTGTCTGTTGCCTGGCGATGAGCAGCGGGTGTATGAAGTGAGACAGTGGTGACGAGGTCATGTTGAACCTGTGTCTGAGTTTGGTGCTCCTGCATTTGTTCACTTCCTGTTTCCAGGCATGTCTAGGACTTCAAAACGTCCTTGAATCACTTGAATCTCAAGAGGACTCCAGGATGTACACTGTATATGAAATAAGACACAGACCTTCCAGGCTCCTCCTCATATTGTCAGTTAAGCCAAACTGAAATTAACATGATGATCAAAGATGAGACATGAACGTTAGCACAAATGGGCCTTTTATAGATTCATACATTCATACAATGAATATTCTGTTACAAATGAAAACAAAAATGGTAAACCATCCCTAAGACAACTGGTCAGAAAATAGGGCTTTGGATCCCTTTTGCCCTAAACAGCCTTTAATTTGTGATTTTCTCCATGATTCGGATGTCAGTGATGAGCATTCTCTTCAAGGACCCTAGAAGATTCTCAAAGATCTATAAGGTTCCATCTGAAGGAGGAGAAGAACCTCTGTATGATGGAAGGATAACGAAGACAAGGAATTAAAGATCCTTCTTCCAGAACCTCCGTGTCGCAGTACACTGGAGTACCCAGGGTCTCCTCAAGGAGTCCTGGAATAGTTGTGATGTGGCTTGAACAGATTTTTGGGGACGTCAGTTCTGTGGGTTTTCACTGTGGGGGGAAAGATTATGCACGTGTTAGTAAGCACACACACACACACACACACAGAGAGAGAGAGAGAGACACATGTGTGAGGTAGCCATCAGTGACCTCTTTTCTCTAATGAGGTGATTGATGAGCTATTATCCTTCTGTGTGTGTGTGTGTGTGTGTGTGAGCACGATTTTTATGTGCGTGGTTGATGACGTCGCAACTGAATGGAGGGCTGGGCTTGTCTGACTGGGACAAAGACGATGGGGGGTCATTAAACACACACACGCACACACACACACACACACACACACACTCAGACTCACACATGCACCGATCTCTCGGACCATGTGAATATCTTTGGTTCCGCCCCCTTCCACAGGAAATAGTTGCCATCAACGACCCAGTCACTGCGGTGATGGTTTACAAGGAGGCCGTACGACAGAGGTCACAGGTCGTGAGGAGAGTGGGACAAAGAGAATCAAAGAGTGTGTAAGGTCGAAATACTAAGCTCTGATTGGCAATTTCACGCCACTATTCCAGGTGTGTTAACCTGCTGCCAACCAATACCTTTGAGTGATAGATTGTAACCACAACCACAGCCTCTCCATCATCCTCAGACTAGTCCAAGATGTCAAAGGTTTCAAAAAAACCTCCAGAAAATGATTCCAACCTCCAGACACAGGGATTCTTGTTCCTTCTCAAACGGGTGGACCTGAATCTTGAGATCAGAGTCATAGTACTGGACTGGATTGACTTGACTTAATTACTGATGACCCAGAATCAAAGTCAAGACTCACATCTTCAGTGATTTGAACACTCTAACTACGGATGAAGTTCTACGGACACAAGACTCAGAGCTCAGACCTCATCTGTGACTGGTACCATATTGGTACTCTGAGATATCAGCCTGTACTCAATTCATATTTTGTTTGGACAGGGAATTGAACAAAAGAACTGAAACTTTAAGAACCAGGTTCACTGTGTGTGTGTATGTGTGTGAAACAGAGACAGAGC